ATCATGACTATGCTTATCTCTGCACATATGAGTAGTCCTTCTAACGTGAAGCCATAACCTAGCCTTCTCTGGCAAGAAAAAAAAGCCTTTGAAATTTTGTATAAAGAAAAGAAAGGGAATAGATTATTTTTTTTCCTGACTATTTTAAGCAGTTGCAAGTTAAAAAAAAAAAACAACAAAAAGCAAAAAATGCCAACACCCCCACCCTCCCCCCAAACCCAACTACAACAACAATAAAAGCCATCACCATTTATCTTACATTCCACATTGACATGCTGTATAAAGTTTCTGGGAAAGAAATGCTAAAAAGCCTTTGAAAAAACATTTTTTGTCTGCACTAACGAGTGTGCAGTATTTGTAATAGCTGTACAACCATGCAGCCCTATCACCCGCCAGACCTGAAGGTTGACCCTTAATTATTCCGGAGGTGGAATTCATGTCCCGCTGTTAATGTGGAATAGATCTGGGATCAAATAAGAGTGAAATGTTAAGGTGGGCACCACTCTCTCTGTCCTCTCTCTGACCCATGCAGCACACTTGGTGTTTGATCGTACTAAGGGATTCTGTTTCTGGGACTTCTCAGAAAGAAAGAGGATTTTTTTTTTTTTTTTCCAACGTGTCATTGTGCTATTGCGTTTGTTAAATCATACATAGAAATAAAATCATAGCCTGGTTTTGCTGCCCTGTACCTTCAGGAAAAGTGTAGTAACTCACCTCATGGGTGAGAAGCTTTAGGTTTTGTCTGACTCCGGAAAAGAAATGGGAGGACTTGGAGGGGGAGATGTCTGTGGAAAAGCCTATGGACTAACCAGGTTTGGGAAGAAAGTTCAGATCTACCTTTTCAGAGTAAAATACCAACAAGAACACTTAAAGGAGCTGTATTTGGAGCTTATTTGTAGAGTACCACATTGTTATCAAGGATACATAACCCAACAGTAATTTATTCATTGTATTTATGTGGGTATGTTTGTCCCAAGAAAGATCATTGAAAGGATTAATTTTTTAGAACAAACAAAGGTTATTCTAAAGGTACACAAAAGACCACTAGTGAATGTTTTTTTCCTTCTAATGTGACAAAGGAATTGAAAAGCATAAAGCTTCTAGCCACTGTTTTTCAGATTACAAACCTTCGCTCTTGCCCCCCTGTTTTGTTGCTTTTGTGTGACTTTTAGGAACATGAACATCCCAACTACTTATATTATATTGATATGATATTGTGGTGGGTTAACCCTGGATGGATGCCAGGTGCCCACCAAAGCCTCTCTATCATTCCCCCTTCTCAGCTGGACAGGGGAGAGAAATATCACGAAAGGCTCGTGGGTTGAGATAAGGACAGGGAGAGATTATCCACCAGTTACCATCATGGGCAAAACAGACTCAACTTGGGGAAATTAGTTTAATCAATTACCAATCAAATCAGAGTAAGGTAATAAGAAAATAAAAACTAAATCTTAAAACACCTTCCCCCCACCCCTTCCTTCTTCCCAGGCTCAACTTCACTCCCCATTTCTCTGCCTCTATACAGATATTTATAAATCCGTGAACATTCAAAGTCATCATCATCCCCAAGACATGTAGACATTGCCCTCACTTTATTTATATGCAGAAATTCTTGCTGGTCTGAATTACTCATTATAAAAAATATTCTGTGTCAATTTGGATCTCTCTATCTACTTGAAATCAGACTAGTCGTTTTGCTTTTTATATTTATGCCTGGAAGAATTTAAATATGGTCATTTTGTGTAATGTAATTCACAATGAGTAAAGGTAAGTACATTCATTTAAGTGAGTTACAAAAGTGTACTTCATTGACAGTAATTGCTCAGTGCACTCTTGCAGAGGATGAAGAAATGTTTTATCTCACTCTTTCTTAAAGGCACTTTACTTCTTATCAGAATTGGCCTTGTGTAGTCCTACTGGTATTTTGTTCTTTTTCTTTATTCAGTACGCAAGCCACATTAATTGAGTTAGGCTCCCTAAAAAGCTTCTAAATTAAAACAGCAGTGAAACTATTGCAATATGAATTCAGCCTTGATAGACAAAAATTTTCAGAAAAAAAAAATTATTATTCTGCAGTTTTGGGACTAGGATGTAAATAAATGTCACTACTTTCAAGTGAGTCGTTCATCAAAAATGCAGTTTTAATGCCAGGATTTTATTCTCACTTGATGTCAGTTGGATTGGTATCCCTGGACTATTGGCTCAGTAATCTGTGAAATAAAATAAATATACATGAAAGTTACAGAAAAAGTCCATCAAAATAAGACAATATTACCAAAAATAAGAGTAAACTGTGCATTCAGAAAGACTTTATTAGTACATACGAGCCTGTCCTTTGGAAAAATACCTTTTCACCATAAACTGAAAATGTTTTCCTTGATGTGAGCAGTGTTATTACAATATATTAATTCTTTCTAATGGGAGGCAGCAGTTAAAGAAATTAAACACTTTTCCTCCAACTTGAGTTCCATTGCGTACAATGTTATGTAGCACCAGACATTCCCCTGTAAGGAAAGAAACAGCAGTCGCCTGTAACCACCGTTACCTGCTTCCTGTCAACTACCCAGATTTTCAGGTGCCTATGTAATGCATGTGTTGAAGAAAACCAGATATCCTGAAATTCATACCTTTAGATCTGGTATTCCGCTTATTTAAACTGTAACACAGATGGTGCTGAATGGAGAAGTTGCCTAGTTGTCTGGCCCACACCATGTGGCAATCCATCATTTTCCATGTGATTCTAATCCTTTAGCAATGCACATCATCAGAGATGCCATCCTGGTGTCTCATTTCTCATGTAAATGTTATTTTATATAATTTCCTTTTTAATGGTAATTCAAATTATTTAATTATATATACTGTTTTTCAAATCTTGGTTCTCATTAATTTAAAATGTATTAATTTGAGTAACTGTATTGTAAAAATATTTTAATAAGTAGCAATAATTAAAATGTCAATGATGTGAGAAATTACTTGGTCTAGTTGTAGTATCTAATGAGAACTTTCTCTGCGTCAGATAGAGCCAAGCCTAGTGTTCAGTCTTTCAAACATTGACTGGGCCCATGTTTATTGTGAGTGATATTAAGTACTGTATTTAGTTCCTGAACTGTAGAAAAATTCTTATATGTTAGTAAGTTTTTTCTCTAATAAGCCAGTGATAAGTCCAGTTAAATTTTGCAAATTCTAATGAAATGGAAGGATTCTTTCTGTATTGGATGCTCTGTTGCCAGACTGAGGAACCAAACCAGTGGTCTCATCTGTATGTTCTGCGTGTGGTAGTGACTGGTATCAGGTGTAAGCAATGTGACGCAGTGGAAATTAGGGACTGCATTCACAAGAGACTTCCCCGCCTCTAAGCAAGCAGTTGACTTCTGCTTTGAAGCAACATTGCCTAATCGTACATGGTTTTGACTAATGAAACCCTGGCTGCTGATAAATCCACAGATAAATGCCTAATCCTGTTTTAAAATGTGACTAAGTAGTTCTTTACATGAGCAAGGAACTGAAAATGCCAGGCTTTTGTCATTTTATCAGCCAGTACAGCCTATGCCTAATGCTAATAAACATCACTTGAGGCATCTGCTGAGGACTGCAGGCTTGCCCAAGCTATGACATGTGCTGGAAGTACTGTCATTGCCCCAACACAGAGACTAAGTTAACCATGTTTTGTGAGGTTTACGCTAAACAGCATTTATGTTGTGTGGCTGTATGTTAAGCTGTGCTACAGTCAGCAGAGTTTTGAAAAGTCTGGCAAGAAAATAGTATCTGGCTGGGGATGACTTCAGAAACCTGGTGAGCATGGCGTGGTGCTGAGGGAAAGGGTGCTTGCAAATATTTGGTCAAAATTAAACTGAGAAATGAGAATTTGATCCAGTTATTCTGTATGCACAAAATGTGCATTACCTAATCAGAATTTCAGAGGGAAAGGATAACTGGTTAGTCCAGTGTCTTTCTCTGTGGTTCCTTTCATAAACACAGAAAACAACTACTGGGCAGTTTCTGCAAATACAACAGTAAAAGACAACTGTACCTTATTCCTTTTGGTTGCATAGTAATGTGCTATTAATGACAGGGCTGAGAACTGCAGGAATCTGGGAGGTCCTGCTTCCCTAAAATGGAAAGTTTTTGCAGAGAATGTATTTCCCTGAAACAAGCAGTCTGTTGGAGTGTATCTACCCCAAGGGAAGGGGAGAGAAAATCCTTGTCTTTATTTACTGAGGATTTAAAAGCATCTCCGGAACCCATGCACTCAATGCGTTGCATATACATTGTAAAGAGCCAGATCTCCTCCTGAAGGACTATACAGGAGACTAATGTTATGTCATATAAAAAGCCAACGCTCCTTCCACGCAGCGTGCAGGCTGCTTGCCTGACCCCGACTTCAAATGCAAATCTCCCCAAATGCGTTCTCACTATGTAGTTGCATAACTAGCTGTTCTTGTGAATTTTCCTGTAATATCTCCAGGGAAGGAGATGGTGAAACAAATCTGGGGTTAACCCCTTCTATACCAGCAGATAGTAGCATTTCACAAGGTGTCTACATGCATGAACTTTTGGGTGTTTTCTAATTTCTGTATTTATGCCAAGTTACGTTAATGTTAGCATCTCAATGTTTAAAACTACAAAACAGTGTTTCAAATTACAAACAAGTCAGATACATCAACAAAATAATAAAAACTGTTTGAATTTTCTAGAAGGGTATTATGGCGTAATTCTAAATATAGTATGGAATTGCTTTTGCTACTGACATTAAAGTTAGGGTAAACTTGCATTCGCATAAATGGAGCAGATTTGAGCCCAGTTTCCCACATAAAAATACACTTTTTCTCAGGTAAAAAAATACCCCTTGAGGCCTGGTCTTTTTGCAAGCAATTCTGACCCAATTCATATATATTACTTGTAAAATTTATATCCTTTCCTCTCTCACAGGCACTGCATGAAAAATTATGGGAAAAAATGCATTGTAGATCGCATCAGCTTTTTCTTCTTTGTTCCCACAGGCACAACAGCTAACAGATCTGGAGCAAAAACTAGCAGTTGCAAAAGATGAATTGGAAAAGGCAGCCCTTGACAAAGTAAGAAGTGTAACGTAATGTAAGCATGTTTATCTCTATCAACTGTGAATGTTTCAGTGTAATTTGACAAAAACAAATTAAAGTCTTGCAAAGATTTAGATGCATACTTAATTGCATGTACCTGGGTGTAATGCTACTGAAGTTGGTGGAACTAATTATGATGCATGAAGTTAAGTACAGCTGCAAAGTTATTTAAGAGGAGGGCAATCAAATTAGAAAGAAACATCTCAAAAACCCACAGAAAGCCAAATGCTACAGTTCTTGAGGTGCAAAAGTACGCTAATGAGAATGTGCCTGTAACCGATATGATTTTTATCTGAGATTTAGTTGTAGTTCCAAGTAGGATGCAGCCTAGAAATGGGTCAGTCTCTGGTTAGGGTGGGACTGATGTGACAGAGCTAACTCTTCCGTGGGCAGAGGTGCCTGTTCAGGACAGGGAGGCTGTGGGGAATCCCAGGATGGGGACAGAGCAGGACACGTTCACTCCAGTCAGCTGTACAACAGGGGAACTTTTTTCTAGACTTAGGGTAGCTGGGAAGAAAATGTCATGCAATAGGAAAGCAGTTTATCAGAAAGGAAAAAACTTCAGTATTCTATCAAAGACTACTTTTTTGGTCTGGTTTTCTAGTATTTTCAGGTTCTGTTAGACACTAAAAAAAAAGTATGCCCCTTGCACTAAAGCATGTTTATTTACTCTTCAATATTGCAATCACTGAAATCATCCTCTTGACTGAGGATTTGCATCCAGCATTGCAAAATGTAATCTATATAAGCAATGCTTACAATAGCATTATCCAAACCTGTGTCTGCGTCTGGTGATATATCATGTTTCTTGTTAGTACACTCACCTGAACTGCTCCATGTATTAATTTAAAAATTAAGTATGTTCCTCCTTTGCATGTATAACACTCAGATGTAATCTCTAACTAGTGCCAATATACTGTCTGTGGCAATGGCAAGAGAGCAATGCTAGCAGTAAATATCTTCTAAGTGCAGTTTGTTCATTATAATGCAGACAGTTGTGAAGGAGAAAGCAAAGAACATTTGACATCAGGAACTTTTAATGAGAATGCTATTAAGCGATTTGGTCTGAAAGTTAAAAAAGGATTTGCAGCACACCCAACTGACTTCTCTGACCCTCTCTTTCTTTCCTATTAAATATTATAGAATTTTAATTTAAGGCTCAGTTATGGTTCCGTAGGCTTACCAGAAGCCCGGTGTTGTCATTTTGCAAATCATCACGGAGAGAGTTTTGGATGGCACCATTGCTTACATGCTGCAAAAGTGCAGTGGAAATGCCAAGCGGGAGTAAAAAAAAGCAGTGCAAATGAAAGAAAAAGGCAAAGTTCATGCCAGTGAGAATTGTGACACAGTTTTATGGGACTAGAAATACCCATGTTCAGCTAGTTCTAACTGCAGAGTAATAAGACCATTTAAGTTGTAGGTACCTTTTTCCCCTGGTTAAGAGCTTTTCTGTATGAACTATGAACTGAAAAGAGTTAAGAGACAGCCAATGGTCCATCCACGTCTTCAGTGACGGCGACTTGGCCTTAACTGTTTTGACAATGTTAGCACACATAGTTTCAGCTAAAGGAATGGAAGCAATGTGTAAAGCAATGTGCATTTCTGGAACATGAGCTGTATTTGAAATGAATAATTGAGTGATCAAATCTCAAACTACCTGTAAATAGGCATTAATTTGTATTTTTCTTTTGGGAGGGTATCGGACTTTTCTATTAAATACTAGTTGGTGCTGACAGTGGACTGAGTGTCTCTAAAGTTTATTTACACTACAGCACTTTTCTATTTCCCATGGTGGACCCTTGGAAAATTGACAAATTTTGCATTACCACAGCCCAAATTATTCTATATTGAATCAACCACATGACAAGACTATAAACCGATCTGGGAAATCTGAAGACATGCGTCATATGTTGGCAGTATTTTGACCAGCAAACAGCCTATTTTGACCACAGTCACATCTGTGCAAGGTTATCGAGAACTTTGTCAAACTACACCCCTGGTTCCAATAGTGTTTTCTTAAGTTGTACTCTTCTGCTGCCCATTTATACATCTCCTATCAGCAAAGTCAAAATTGAATTTTGCTCCCCGCAGGATGAAAACAAAATAACCTATTCTGCTTTTACCTTTGGAATGGCAAAATGGCTGGCCATAGCTAAGGCAGAACAAGCACTGGATGGCAGGGGTGGGAGATGGGAGGATGAGAAATTATCCAGGGGGATTTCCAGACCGGAGGAGTGTGGTGTCAGATCAGTGTGATTTGTGGGGAGCACTAGGGTCATATAGTGCTTATAATGGCTGAGTCTGTATCTTCAAGCAAAATTAGGCAGTGTCGTGATTTAACCCCAGCTGGCAACTAAGCACCGCACAGCCGCTCGCTCACTCCCCCCACCCCAGTGGGATGGGGGAGAGAATTGGAAGGGTGAAAGTCAGAAAACTCGTGTGTTGAGATAAGAACAGTTTAATAATTGAAGTAAAATGAAATAGAATAGTAGTAGTAGTAATAATAATAATATACAATAGTAATATACAAAGCAAGTGATACACGACACAATTGCTCACCACCCACCGACTGATGCCCAGCCCGTTTCCGAGCAGCGATCACTCCCCCCTGGCCAACTCGCCCCAATTATATACTGGGCATGACGTCATAGGGTATGGAATAGCCCTTGGGCCAGTCTGGGTCAGCTGTCCTGGCTGTGCCCCCTCCCAGCTTCTTGTGCACCAGGCAGAGCATGGGAAGCTGAAAAGTCCTTGACTGGTGTAAGCACTACTTAGCAATAACTAAGCCATCAGTGTGTTATCAACATTATTCTCATGCTAAATCCAAAACAGAGCACTATACTGGCTACTCGGAAGAAAAAAAAAAAAAATCAACTCTATCCCAGCTGAAACCAGGACAGGCAGTCTACTACCTCTGCCAGTTTGGTGTCTGAGCTTATTTTGACTATGTCAAATGGTGATTTATGTTCTCTGTGCAGTCACTTCTTGAAAAGGTAGGAGAAAAGACACGTTACATGAAAAGAAGTATGCTAAGATCTTCTGTTGTCAATTAGAAATTAGAAGATCCCTGAGTCAGATGGATAAAGTAATCCTTTCCGTTGCCATTAGGTCAGAGACATATCAGCCTGACTCGAGGTTCATACATTTTAATAAGTGGTTATTCATACACAGTGCTGTCCTCTTTGATGATAATCTAGCATTCCTCCTCACTGCACACATCTTAAGGGAAAGACATTCAATTTTGTCTGTTTGCGAACAAAACAAACTCCATTCCGTCTCCTGTTTCTTTGATTTTCCATATTGTGCTATGCATTAATAGTCTTGTTATGGTTGTTTTTCATCTTACCATTAAAATGTGCCCTACTAACTGTTTTTGTTTGTTTATTTTTAAATAAACACTCAGATTTTCCCAGTTATGACATGTATTCCCTGGGTCCAGTTCAGTGGAAGTTATATTATCTGATGTAAAACACGGAATATTTGTCAGGTTCTAAAAAACACTTCTTCAGCAAATAAACTAAAATAAGGTGGTGTACACTGAATGCCGTTGCTTAGGATTCATATACCTGTGAAGTATTTTTATATTGTGTAGGTAATATTTCACATACGTAGTACATAGTGTGTAATATGTTGCGTATACCTATATTTTCCATCAACTTTTGACATGGTATACATCACAATTCTTCATTTATGTATCTTCAAAAAAATCTTTGAAGGTCAAAATGTGCTGATGTAGCCTGTTTTGATAGGCACACTCTTAAAACAAAGAATAAGAGCAAGATTTTTTTTTTTTTTTGAGGCCAAATGCTGCCTAATTTGACCTGAAATAATATAGCGAAGTTACCTCAATATGTAACATTTGACTCTAATTGACTTGCTGTGATGGAGCAAAGATTTAAAATGAGATTTCTTCAGTGCCATAGTTATCTCAGTGATCTTGCTGTCTCAGCTTATTTCAATGACAGACTGGTATTTTCATTAATACATCTATCTGTATTTCTGTGAGTAGTGTAGCAGTGTTCTAACATGAGTTGCAAGCACTTCACCACTTAAAAGTTTTAGTTAAGCTTGATCGACAGTAATGGATCTGGACAATCATATTCTTAACAGATAGAAAGACCTATGGTTTATTTACTATACAGTGCAACAGCATAATATGCACAGGTATGTTCACGAGGGAGGTCACCTTTCTGTTGGATTAAAATCAATCTTTATAACCTGTGGAAATACGCTAATTATTCTGAACATTATAAACACAATTCCATGCAAAGTCTGTGTCTCTGCAATACTTGTGAACACCTACTTCTCCCTAACTATTGTATGTAGAAGTCTGGACTCTATACTGTATTTTTGTTTCTTTTGAGATAAAGTAATATTTAATAATTATTTGCAATAACCAATGTGGATAAAACTGCACAGAGGAAAGGGAAGAGTGCAATGACTTTCTAGGCAGTTTGGTGTGTAATGCACAGTAACCTAATCGTATAAAAAAACTGCTTTAAACAGCCTTAATTTCTTCTGTTAATAAGAAAAAACAGCAGCTGCTCATAAATGTTTGGTTTAATGCAGAGAGAGAAAGCAAGCAATTCTGTTCATAAAAACACATCTTGGAGAACTGATGATTTCTTATTTTCCCCAGGAGTCACAGCTGAAAGCTCTAAAGGAGACCGTGCAGCTTTGCCTGTCTTCCGTTCTGCACAATCAGCCTCCTGCTACGAATCTAATCCCTTCAAAACCAGCTGAGAAGCTGACATCATCAGTTACAAAGGGCTCAAAAGTTCCATTTCAAGTGACAAGCGCCAAGGTATGGTTTCTCTCTCGTTTGTTTTTTTTTTAATGCATCTTTGAAAGTTTGTCCTGTAAGAGCATCAAACTGGAACTAAGGAGGATTTTAAATTCATTGAAAGATTAGGATGAATTTTGAGGATAATTCTAAGCCTGTTTCTGATGTCAGTAAACTTTCTTGAAAGTTGGGAAGCAGGTACTTGTTTTGCTGAGGAACAAAATTTTGTCTATTACTTGCTAAATGGACCATGTCTGCATAACAAATCTACAAGGAAGATGGATTGGCACCTGAAATAAGTGAGGATGCTAATTCATAGGATTATTTATTTGTCAGGCACTGATAGTGAGTTTGTGGTAATACAGCAATAAACAGTAGGACAGTTTTTGCTTATTGTGTTTTTTTTTTAGTGAGAAGGACTGATATAAAAACATAAAATAGGCTGGGGCACCCAAATCAAGTTTGCCAAAAGGGGTCTACGGAATTCATACTAGGCCATAGGGAATATTCCACTCATGCAAGATGGAAAGGGCAGTTTAGGAGAAAGCATGAGAAAAAAATTTGTTGAAAAGTGTTTTGATTCAATAGATTCAAGCATTTTAATACAGTCAAGATTTACAGTGATTAACAATTGTCCTGATAATTTTCATTTCCAGGGTTGCATTTTGCTTATGTATTCAACTGATTCAATAGATCTAGAAGAAATCTGTGATTTCAATTAAAAAGGAAGTTTTACAGAAGAATGACTGAAGGACACTTTAATGTCCTCCTTAAATTCCAAAACTCTTCCCTGAAATATAAATAGGAATTGCTAACTCATAGCCAGTTTGTAATTTTTACACGGCAGCTGTCGCTATTCACTATTAGTAAAGAGGAAGAAGCCAAAAATTAGTAATCTTTCTGTATGTTATTAAAATTGAAATATAATTTCAGAAAGCAGAATATAATTATAAAACTGGATCTCACATTGCTACTCTTAGAATAATGATTGTCGGTTCCTTAATAACTGTTTTATAGAAAGAAACCTTCATTCCCCAAAATTATTACCTCTGGAAACAAAGCACTATTAATTAATAGCAGCATATGGGGATATTGGTGCTCATTTAGATTAAGATCACTGGCTCTGTGTTCTGCAGGAGAGTGGACTCTTCTTTTGTAGGTCATGCAGACTGAGCTTCACTCTGGGATCTCAGGAGCATGTTTTTCCTAATTAATGTGGCTGTAGAATTGCCTGTCTTGTTCTCATTGTCCTTCTCGTCAGGTTGGAAGCGTTTGTGCCTCTGTCATGACAGCATGGGTGTACTGAAGGATAAGGCCCAACAAGCCACTATGCCTGTGTTTAAGATTGGAATAGGGTCAGAACCTTTGAAGCATTTGAGGTCTCCTTGGTTTTATGGGTATTACTGTAGTGCAACAAAGGAAATGGGAACACAGTGTAGAGATTAAAATTAGATTTTTGACATTTGACTGAAACACAGAATGTTCTCCCTTCTTTTTTCCATGATCGTATAGATTTTATGTTTAATGTTCCTGTTTGTAAAATGTATCAGTATTTCCGTGCTCCAGCCTTTTTGAGAACCAACATTTAGCTGTCTGTATCCAAAAGTGCTTGAATAAGTTATACTGCCTCTTTAATAGGCATTGCTCACATTTCTCTGCACTTGGCATATGCCATGAAAATGTCTTAGAAAGTAATGGTCTGCAGTCCTCTTCTTCCACACATTGACACCTCATTATTATAAATCTGTGCATTATCTGTGATTATAAAACCACTTAAATCTGCTACTGTGAAAAAGGTTGTCAAAGAATCAAATTCAGTCCAGAATTACACCCTCTGCACTTGAGCTGTATTACAGAAGGCTTTTTTTTATAATGACATCCATTCTTATGAATCTTTTCCTTGTCTTTTTCCTCCTTTTACAAACCAACTAACTCTACCCATGTATAGCTTGCTTTCTTTTTTAATCAGATTTGCATAAACAGTTTGATATAGTAGGCTAGTATTTTTTAGGTGAATATAAATGTGTGTGATTACTTAAATATGTTTTCGTATGTAAAAATGGGAACTTCAGATGAGCAGCACTTATGCATCTTGTCATGTCTGATAAGCAGCAGTTTCACCTTCAGGAAAGAAAAGATGATTTCTCTGGTAAATATCTTATTTCAAAGATATTCTCATCCAGCCTAAAAATTGCTTTCTAAAAATGTCAAACTTATTTTAAATCCATTGAAGGGTACGTCATACGGTGTATGATACCTGTATCGCTTTGAGACAATCATCCCTGGGCTTGGGGTGCTTCCTGCTTAGGGGGAAAAAAAAAAGGTGCAAATAAGTAGATTCTATGTTTGTATTCATAATTGGTAACCGTAATATGTGAGTGCTTGTTAGAGATTATATTTAACACATAAGCGTGGTGTAGAAAGGATAATTAGGAAAGCAACTTGCCAAATTTCTTGGGAAGGTTCATTTTGAAAATTGATTTCCTAGTGACGTATTTTGGTCTTTCTAGAGAATGTGATATAAAGAAGCATAAATCAGGTTTAAAAAATCAGTGCAAATCAGTGCATAGAAGTGCCTGAATCAGTGCAAAAAAGTTGTTGATCTGGATAGCTCGTAATTTGGAAGAGTGGGTAGTAATGGGAAATTCTTACATTTAAATCATAGAAAAAGTTCCCTTAAAGTGATCAAAAGCAGTATGAGTCTGAAGTGCGTTTTGTGACACATCTTGAATGAGTTAATGTTGACAATGTACAAGAACGTAAAATACAGAATTTACCATGTGAATTGGCACTAATATTTCAGACCAAAACCATTTTACCTGCCATGTACCTGTCAAAACACCAATACTGGTGCTGAAAGCATTGACCATTACAAATGGATTTAGGGCTCTGTGCATACAAGTTCAATGACACTAACAACTAAAACCAAGCATAACCAGAAGGCTGATCATTAATCCTGAACTATGAGGTCTTTAACTTTCTGGGTTGTTGACAATTATTTTTATTATATAGTTTCTTTTGCACTGTAATGTCGCAGCAATAACCATTCTGTGTTCTGCCAGTGGAAAATGCTTCCAAACTAGTTGAGAGTAGTTGGATCTGGCTTTTGTTGTAGCAATTTCCTTGCCTCATTCCCATTACAGAAGTGATGAGGAAAGAGAAAAATGAAGAGAAAGGAAAAGGACTGAAACTCTGCTTTTCTTTTTAATCTCCAGATGAGCGCCTAAGGACCTGGGTACTTAACGAGTATTGTTAATGGATGGAAACTGTAACATTTACTAGGTTGCCTGCTGTGGGAAATGTGGGGTGGTATAATAAGTAAATCAGAGCACTGGTGCTGACTTCCTATTGAGGCATTTTCTGCACTTACTGGATCTTTGCATAACAAACAACTCTGTGAATTTATATGGAGTTAGATGGAATGCATTCTTACTCCATTTGTTTTAATTCCCCTTTCTGAAAAAGGTTAATATTATACCTTATAAAAAAATAAAAATTGTAATAATAGCTATCATTCAAATATCTTTGGCCATGCAGTGTAAAGATACCTGTGCTCCAAATGCAACAAACTGAACTTTAGTAACACTGTGGAAAATTAATGGCCAATCAAAATCAGAAGTGAAACGGAAGAGAAGTCTGTTTCCAGTAGCGAGGTTGAATACACAAATGACGGGTAATACAGTGACACGGATACCAGAATAATAGTGACTCATTTGCTCTATGGTGTTTTTGCCTAATGCAAAAACATTGTTTCATGTATTCCCCAAATGAATTCCTTCATTATAAATGCCCTGTGGTTTTGGTGTATTTTATGAAACTGCACTATTTTAAGAGCACATGAATTTCAAACTGTGAAGAATAACCCCCCCCTCCAATATTGTACATAGCGTAGGTGGAAAGACCATCTATGAATGCCAGTTCCGTGTCCTAGTCTTGATGGAGGAAATACAGGCTGAATACGAATGAGAACTCTCCTTCTGTAGAAATGTATAGTACAGACTGAAAGGGGAACTGCCACTCCATTTTTAAAAGGTTTGAAGATCTCAGTAGAATAGTAGAAATGATTGATATAAATATTTATGTAAAATAATAATAGAATCGTTAATTATTTGTACTAAATATTATTTATACTATTATCATATTACTGATAATACTGTAGGATATTATAATGATATAATTGACTAGAAATTTGAAAAACATTATAGTTATATGTGTACATTTCTTTAAAATATGCATAAACAATTTGAAGGAATGAAGAAATGTTTAGAATGTGTAGGCTGGACCCAATCCATATTTATCAAGACTGAACAAAGTCTTTTTTAACTGTCTTTTAAGAGTGTTTTTGTAGATCCTAGAAATCTAACAGAATAGCTTCAGATTAATGAAAAATTAACCAGCTGAATGTAGCAATATATCACCTCATCTCTCGCCCTTTGTAGGTCAAGACAGAAACCTAAATCAGAACAAATTACTTAAGGAAATAATTTATGTTTTCTAAAATCAGAGCCATTACTGTTCCTATGATTTATCATCATATTCCAGTATAAATGAAGGTTCTGACCCTTTGAACAAAGCAATTGCAAATTCTTTGCTCAAGAACCTGTGAAACAACACAAATATAATTATGGCCTTATTTTTGCCCTTAGTAGGAAAGATTAAGATGCTGAAAGATTTTCTAATGTATCTGATTATCTTTACTCAGGGTGACCTCTGTATAACATGCTGAAAACATAACTTGGAAGTTATTGCTCTTTAGGCATTACATTTCAAACTGACATTAAATCATTATGTCAGGAAGCACCCCAAATCCTGTGTGTAATAACCCCACTCCAGAGACTGAAAGATGGGCAAATGGACTTCTGAAAAGTAAAAGATGCTAGGCTGAATTTAATAAGATATTTGTGAAATGAATTGGATATCTGAAATTCACAATATATATATGCCTTTTGGTAACATAGTCTCTGTTTTGTGGATTTGGAAAACCGAAGCTTTAAAATGTAAAATATTTGTGACTGTTCTTT